ACGATCCCATCCTGCACTGTCTTGTTCGACCTCCGCTGAGGGTGTTGATAAGACCGATGCGAGGTCGAGACTGCAGTCCACCTCAGCCCGGATGAGAACAACTTTTGGGAAAGCAAGTCTATGTGAAATTGAATGGAAACGTCAGCTCAACTCATATCATTGTGGGAAAATTCTTCTACCATTCCTTCATCACCTTACACGAAATTGGGTGAATACATCTCATATCAGTTGACATGGGTCCTGATATCTCCGTGGTATCAGCTCTCGGAAAATACAGGCGAATTAGTAAAGTAGTGGGGCATCCGGACAAAGTCTAGGGAGAAAGTAAAACTCTCTTCACTATTACCATCTTTTCAGGGAGTTTTCGGCCTCCTCTTCAAATCGGGCTGCCATAAAGTTTTGTGCTCATGTGGTATCATCTATTCGAGGTAGGCCTGCTGGACCTTGTATAAGGGGTTACACGAACACAAAAGAGGCTACAAAGGGTTGTGGGAACACAAGTTATAACTGGCTGAATGGTTATGGAGACTATGCCGCTAAATGGAAGATTAGGGAATCTATGTAAACGAACAAAACAGTCAACACCCTGAATAGAACAAATGAGTGTAGGAAATTTAGTGGAAAGTATTTTAGCAGTTGGATAGGATTAGAGAGAGTGAGAGCAAGAAGCATCGCTGCCAAGAGGAGGAGGAGGCTTGATTACCCCCTCCCCAAAATCTGGTTTTCACTTTCATACCCCACGCGTGTCGCGAGCATTGTACGCTCACAACACACATGCAATAGGAGACAATCAGATGCAACGACATTGCAGGGCGAAGAAATGTAAGTGTATTATGGCAGAATTCAGCTGTTCTGACACAATTGCATCCCCTTCACAATTCACACGCAGCCACTTAACTTTTCGACAACATGTAGGAAAAGCATAGGATATCCACCCAAATCATTTTTCATATCTGTGTGTTTGGTGAATTATGGTAAAGCATACTTTCCTGCTATAACGATGTCAGTCACATGACGGATTAATCTGGGTCGCGTGATTATGAGCCGAACACTTATTCGCACAAATCTACAGACACATCTCCTTCGAGTCGCGGTGAGACCAACTTACGAATCCCTTCTGACGAAACTAAATGAGCTCCAACAGTCATTCTTCGCTTTCATCGAAGTCCAATTTACACATCCCTTCCAGCCAACTTTTCAGACCAGTTGAACGGTACAACCACTTTTGCTTACTTCCTCCAGAGCAGCAGCATCACACGTAACCAGGGCACGAATCTTGAAAGGCCGAATTTGCGCCAGAGACTCTCCGTGATGGCAATGTTTGAGAGAATCGGTCTCTTAGCCTCGCTGTTGTCAGGACGACCTGAACGCCTTGGCATCTGATCGTTGCTATGCCTCAAATCTACCCCGACGATTCAACTGCCACTGCTCTTCTGCCGTAGTTAATCGCGGCGGGATCCCGATTTCCGGCTGATCCCATATGGCGCCTCAGCTGAAAATCTTCTTTCACCACATTGCAGAGTTTAGCCCTTTCGACCGGGAGGCGGACTGACGCATCCGGAAAAGGTCGCACAAACACTTCATAACTGGCAATCGAGGAACTAGGCCAATCCTGAACCGGAAATGATCATAAATCAAGTCCACCCGAGGCGGCCACTAACGTGCCATTTCAGCATCGAGTCAGTAATTACTTTTTATTGCCCACTCAGGCACTTATTTAAGCCAAGATAAGTCGGCCGGTGCCCCCTTGGGCGAAACGACTTAAATGAACGGCACAGGAGCATCGTTGCATGCTGAAACGAAGGGTCGAAGTTGAGTATAAGATGAGGCAAAAGTGTCTGCGATTTTTACGAGTGATGGCATCTTTGCAGACGAAAAACGAGGTCAAACTCCGAACAGATAAAG